TTTTTTAGTTAAGATTTTTATTACATTCTATCATTAAATTTTTTAATTTTGAAATACTTCATATTTTATATTTGTTACCTTTTTATATGTAGGTAAACTTCTAACTGTTCTCACGTTTTGGCTAGAGCGCCCAAATCCGATATATGTTTGACACGAGTTTGTCGTAATGCTGAAACTATGACAAATGTACCTTAGGGTACAAACGAAGCGAAGCAAAGTGAAGTCATAGATAAAAGAAAAGACTAGGCCAGAGAAAGGAAATGGAATAACATCAGCTATGTTCAATTACTGCTGAAAAATGAACCATATAATGGTGGTACCATATATGTATTCAGTGATTATGAAAATGACTTGGTTAATTCGTATTTTATCAAACATTGAAAAAAATTCTAAAGTTTCTAATCTAATAATTCATACAAAAAGTACAGTTTTATCAAATATATTAAATTATATTTATTCTTATGTGAGTATATTAATTGTAGCCTAATAAATAAGATAATTTGATAACATCATTATATAAAACACATACAAAAAATAACGTAATATGTATAAATGTGCTTTAATTACTCAGCAAATAAAATATTATTTGTCTATAGAATAAGAAACAAATAATATAATAGTAATGCAATGAGAAAAAGAAAACATGCTAATTTTCTTATAAAAGTATGAATACCAATATTTACAAACAAAAAGTCTTTTAAAATTACTACTTTTTTGTTGCTAGCGTTTAAATATATGGACTCTGTAAGAAATTGGTTCTCATAAATAATGATCATATATTATTTATTTTCAACTTTAAATAATTAAAAACTCCAAAAATTTGTATACATGATGTATATTTTAACCATGACTCCATAATAATAAACTTTACAGATAACTAAAAGTATCGTCCTATAATGAAATTCTAATTCTTTTGTTGTCAAATATTTTAACAAATGATATGCTTCTCAATATTTTGTCATTGTTTTGTTTGTTTTGTTTTATCATTGCAAAAAATAGATTATATTGTTCATTTATATTCTAAATAAATAACACTGAAAATGAAATGTAGGAGTATCAATACAGTTTTGAATGTTAGAATGAAATTGTCACTTTTTACAGAAATATTTATAATCTCATTGGTATATTGTGCTTGAACATATGTGCAATTACTTTAGAGGTACTTTCAGGTAATGTATGATGATTTCAAAAAATAATTTAGCACCTCGGGAGAAGTACATGTAACCAAGAATTTGGAAAGTCAACTTTTATTTGGAGATAAAATTCATTCCCATCTCGTGGTGCGATGCATCAATGGGGTAGACACCAATATATCTAGAGACAGGAATGTAATAGCTTATACAGTGATATAAAATATCATCAATTTTAGTGACACCGTTAGTTATTTCATAGAGATATTTATCCTTTGTTAGTAGAAGTACCTTGTTATAATGATCATACGATAGTGAAGTTTGACTATATGTTGGGTCAGAATGTTTCTTAAGTGTTTGAATAAAATTGGCATTTTGCCAAATTAATTAAGAGGAATTTTGCAATAGCATTGATGTATTGGACTTCAACGACTATGAATGTTCTTATGAGAACGTCAAAACCAAAATAAAAGAAAATCTTTGTGTTTTTTATTAGGGATTTGTTTTTTTTTTATATATTTTTGTTGGGGATTGTAATACGTTATTTCACTCTTTTTATATGTGAGGACATCATTACGTTAATTCTAAATAAAAAAAATTACATATGAGTTCTTTTTTTCTATGTTTTACTTCATTTCTACAATGATATGTTTAATAAATAAATTAATTTATTTTGCAAACTTACTCCGCGAAAATCATTCGACATCACGTGCATCGCACGTGCACTCTACTAGTATTAATAAAAAGGCAAAGGAGAGAATAACTAAGTCAAATAAGCAATTTTGAATGTATAAAGTAGCTTAGCAAATAAATCGAACTTACGCTCTGTTGCCGTGACAATAGGAGAATGTGAGCAGATTCCTTCTTTTTTGTCCTATTATTTAGCTGATTATTTTCTGCAATCAGAACTACTGTAGGGCAAAACAAGAAGAAGCAGATAATAAGGAATTCAATATTAATCAAAAGCGTTTTTTCACCATATAAGGCACAAGAAGAACTTAGCATGCCTCGTGAAAGATTGCCGCTTGAAGTTTATAACTTCGGCATTCCTTCTCCAAGTGAGTCCGAAGAGCTTGGGGGGCATCTGTAAGTCATCTCAATCGAAGTAATTAAGATGAAATAGAAGGGCTAATTTTAAGTCTCTCCTAATTCTATTTCAGTTCCTGCATTTCAGCTATTGGCAAAAATCAGTTCTTAGTGTTGACTCCTTATTAATTGCAAGTGTTGCACCAAATGTGAGAGAATAGTATTGTGAAAATGGTAAAATTAAAAAATCAAACCTCTAACTTTATGTTTTGGAGTTTATATGGGGAGTTTTTCCACTCACCCAAAAAGGAAACTACTATCCACATGAGTTCCAGTTTACCACAAAAAGGTAAAGTTTTCTAAGATAGAGAAAACAAATTTACTAAAATGGGAGATACGAAAAATGTCCCTCTAACTACATCGAATAAAGAATGCATATGAAGCAAAATTTAGGCATCCAAGCACTGATGAAACAACACGAAACAACGGCAGTGGAGCTGCAATTCTACAGAAGTTAACTGTAGTTAAGTCGTAAATACCTGATGAACAACTAAACTTGAGACCCAGGAATTCACACTACCTTAGAACCAGTGGAATCTCGGGGGCCATTGTGTATTGAGGTTTCCTTGGTGTTCTTTCAATATCCAGTAACTCATCTATCACCTAAAGACTGGATAAGCAAGTCATTAGAAAATACGGAATATAAACTCCAATAAATCTAGATCACAAAACAATAGATGTAGCCTCACAAACAGTAATCAACACTGCATAATAGAAATCATAACATGATCTTACTCGACATATGGAAAAATACCACAACCAAGCACACCGGAACTGTGCATTTTACTGGCTCCTCAACAGGCAATATTCTGGATTTGTAAAGTTCATTGAGCTTATCACTCAACTCATTATCTAGTAACAGTATATACCTGATCAATAATGGACATGTTCAAATGATTAATTAATTTATTTATTAAACATATCATTGTAGAAATGAAGTAAAACATAGAAAAAAAGAACTCATATGTAATTTTAAGTTGTCTTGATTAATTCAGCAATTCTTTGATAAATCTGACCCCTATGTGGCTTAGTTATGTGATGACATGTTCAATTATTTGTGTTTATTGATATATAAGTATGTTAGTCGGAAGTCCGGCCGAGAGGGTGGCCGCGCCTATCGCGCGTAACCGCGGGCCGCGTTAAGTTATGGTGTGGGTTCAAGTTGTAATCAAATTGTGTTATAAATGATGTTGCTTCAGCCTTAAATAATAATTCACCTCTAAGTATTCTTGAGTTGATGAGTTAAGGGTAGAAATGATCGAGCGATGGCCTAACGCCGTCGGCGGCGCCCGGCGCGTTCGCCACGACCCTATTCGGTCGAATGTGTAATAGTTGATAATTTTCAAGTAAATTCAGCCCCATATTTTGCGGTGTAGTCCGAATTTTAAAAGTTTCAACCCTGGTTCTAAATTTCAATGTTAATCTCAGTCAAAAGTCTGGGTCTAGTTCAGTCCAGTAAAATAGTATCAGTTCAGTTCAGTTCCGTACTTAACCGGTTTCAGTTATACCAATTAAGTCCGGATGTCATTTTAAGTCGAGTAGAGCATCTTAACATGTTAATCAGTTATTTTATCAGTCTGAGCATAGCAATTAGTAATTGTTTATATTATTTTCAGTTTGATCAGGATGCAGATAACAGCACTTACATTTTCAGATCAGCAGTTCAGGTGGGGACTCAGACTGGGTATTACATTGACTGTAATTGCTCTATCATGTTTTAAGGTATGTATATCAGTTATTCCACTCTGGGTGGAGGCGCAGTAGCCTTAATAGACCATCCCGAGTTCCGGTGGAGGCGCAGTAGCCTTAATAAGCCATCGGAGTGGGCCAGGCAATATTCTGGATTTGTAAAGTTCATTGAGCTTATCACTCAACTCATTATCTAGTAACAGTATATACCTGATCAATAATGGACAGTGCTTACTTTATTTAGCAGGAACTTACAAACATCGGGTAGGGAAAACCAACTTTTCATTAACTGATTTACCAACACAAGAATGTTACTGACCTATACATAAAATGCTAAAATTTCATGCATGCTCGAGGTGAAGAAACTAGCTTGTAACTAACTTCTGGCAGTATCATATCACATTCAAATACCAAAACTATCCTTCATGGATTCAGACATATAGAAGACTGAATTTACGGAAGTAGTAATGACATATTGAATTCATCAAATGCTTAAAGCTACATAAGAATCCAAACCAAAGATTGATGAAAATAACACTCACATTTGGAGATTCAAGACCTTGGCCAATCAAAAAAAGTACAGCAACCATGCATCGGATCTGGTGCCATAGGAAAGCGCTGCCTTTGATTTTCATTGCCCAGAGTTCATCATCTTCAAACCTGCAGCAGATGATACAGACAAAATTAAACAGAAAATCAAAAGATTAAAAATGCACCATAACAATTCTATCATCAGAAACTTTCAAGACAACGCTATCTAGACTTTCAAGATTAATAATGCACCATAACAATTCCAGGTAACGAGTATTCAATATAAGTTTAAAAAAATTGGATTTGTAGACTATTGGTTGGTCATGTCACATCTCATTGTATTATTTATAATTTATTCTCCAAAACATCAACAAACCCTATATTGATTCCACTATATAAGAACTATGAGGCTTGCTTAATTGCATACTGAGGCCAAGATGTATCTTGTTTTCCCCAGATCCCTCTCTCACTCACACATAAACATTCATACATATTTTTGTATATTAAGTAATGATCAAGTAGGAACTAATACTTGACTTAGGAGCTAGGACCCTCTAAAATACATTATATGTACTGGTAAAATAGATTGTATAAACTGCTATTATATATGTAGTATAATATCTTACACCGCCAAATTGGCAGTATGTTAGATGTATCGCAGCAAGTCCCTAATTTGTACATTAAAAATGGTTCCTATCAGATACTAATTCTATATATGGGTGTGTTGGATTTTTAACGTACGAATCAATCGCACAGGCAGCGGAATTTTAAAAATTTTCTTACCAACAAGAAGATCCAGTTATAACTTTTCGATTTTGATCCTAGATCGCGAGAATTTACAGTTTAAGTTTTGTCTTCAACTATGGTATCCACGCAATCCAGATCTCGGTGCACGATCTAACGCAGAAAGGACGATGGACGATCCAACGCGGAAGACGCTAGGAATCTTCAGTCAGAAAGCCAAAGAGAGAGAAAGAGTTTGTGTTTTTACGGTGTATCTCAATTTATCTGATGAAGAGATAATCACATATTTATAATTAGGCTAAACCTAATTATATGGGCTTTAGGATAACCTTTAGCCCAATAGGTAATTGGACTCAATCCGATTAATGATTTAGTTAAGTTTAAGTCCAATTAAACTTAATTATATATTTTCTATCTAATAGAAAATAATCTCATTACTCAAAATAAATATTCTAATCTAATTGAATATTTAACACTCTCGATTCACTCTTAGCCGGAAAATAAATTGCATATTGTGTGACCCTATAGGCCTTCATATATTGACATAAATCTAATTTATGATCCTTACGAAATTCCTAGACTGCATCGAAGGACGAACTCAAAATATGAAGTACGTTTACATAGACAAAGCAAACAAACCTTTAGTGTAGAACCCAATAGTGATACGGTCCTTTCATTCACGAACCACTCGATTAAGCTTAGGATTTGAATGTGTGTCTATCCAAACAGCTTAATCATTTTATCTCGTCTTACTGGTTGATTTTATCAATTATATTTGAACACCATTTCAAATATAATCACATGCATTGGCCTATGACTTTATCAATCCAGTATAGAGAAAACGAGTGTTCTCTCGAAACTGTATTCGAGGAATGAATCCTATCTTGGCTCAACTACCAATTTCATGTATATCGTGATCTACCCAACAAAAGCCCGTATCTACCCATAAGGGCGTAAGCGTTGGACTAGGTCTAAGTAAATCACTCTACGCATGAATTGCGTATTGACCTCAAGTCAAAGGACTATTACACTATTCCACACACCGATACTCCCATAGACACATAAACAAATGATTTATCGGTAGAGTATGCCAATACTCTCCAAAGTATCCATGTGTCCACCACGAATAACAATTATTCATAGCAGTGAGACATACTATATTCTCAAAGAATGTGATGCAGACCACATGTCAATCTATCGCGTATCATTAATATCTCTTTCTTAATGATCATCGACTGAGGCGATTTGAGAGTTATACTTCATCAATTATCATCTCACTCTGTTAATGACAGTATCAACTCAAGGGAGCAATTAATTAATAAATTGCAAACAATCAAACAATTATTTAATTAATTGCAATACCATAAATAAAATCTAATTTAATTATTATTGTGATCATGTTTATATATCCTTAAAAAGATTATCTAGGACACATATACCAATAGGGTGTGTAAAAGTTAAAACTTCAACCATAAAACTAAGGCACAGAATTGCATATTTGCATTTGTACACATTCTTCAATATGAGTATGATAAGTAGAAAGTAACTCTTATAAGGTTCACAATTACTTTTTAACCTTTCACTACATGGAAAAATTTCAAATGATGTGATGTGACGCCTATAGTTGTGAACATTAGCTGCATCCATCTTACAGAAGTTTCTGAAATCATGTTCTCCAGTAAATTTCTTTCCTGCAATCTCCATTACCTGTCATGCATGTTCAACAGCTGTTCATTCCCGAGTGTGCAAGAAATTAGGCAGTAATTGGATGTAGAGCTCACGAGTCCAAATATACACAAAGAAATGCTTACTGCAATGTTTAAATTTTCTCTCCAGAAGAAATACTTGTACTCCCTGCTTAAGCAATTGAACCTGCAAGATATTCTATAAATTTGCTAGATATACTGGTTTGACAAAAATGTCAAAAACTCAACCATCAAAATGTTATTACCCTTTCATATTTGTAAGATCAATGCTGAGAAAATGTTCGTTTCATGTATCCATAAGCAATAAGGCCTTGGCTCCAACAGATAAAATATCAAAATGGCTCAATTAAATTCTAGTGCTTCTTCTATTAGTGAAGTTTCTAGAAAAAATATATCAAACGACGCAACGCACCTTGGGTCGCTATGGAAACAGTCTCCTTGTAATTTACAAGGGTAAGGTCTGCGTACAACTGACCCCCCAGACCCCAACCTGTTTGGGAATATACTGGGTATGTTGATGTTGATGTTGATATATATCACAAATAAACTATATTTGTTATCTTTCATATGCAATTATTTAAATTATTTACACTATAGTAGTACTGGAAGACCAAAGGTAACTGCACGGTTCATGCTTGAGACGTGATCTGGTTTGCAGGAACCTCATTTCTTTGTGACACCTTGGGCACAAAATGAAAACAAACCACATCGAGGGTGGTAATTTTAAAAAGCATTACTGTATAGGAATCTACATTCTCGTGTCTCCAGGAAAAGAGATGATACTAATATAAAGTATGAAAATGCAGATATTTAGGGTATTCAAGCATTGACCCAAGTACATAATATTTGGCTTTCCATCCTTATAGGCTATAGATGTCACGTTATAGTGACCAACAGATTCGAAACGGAAATATAAGTTTCTTTTTTCTTAATCCATAATGTTCGTATTAGGAGAGGAGTAAAAAGTTCAAGTGGGACCACTTACCTTGCACTGAAATCAGTTGGAGCAGGTGACCACCCAATAACTCGTATGTCTTTTGGAAGTACTTTGTTTAGCATCTTCACATAATCTATTTCGCTACCTGTCAGGAAGAATATGTATCACAAAGAGCATAAATGGATTGAATGAAACTTGAAAGAACATATTTGTGACACAAGTAAACTTGTAAATTTGTATGTACCACAACACAATAACACAGATTATTTAGTTTCAGCCACATACACACACACACACACACAGAGGAAAAGACAATTTGTGTGTGGGTATCCATTTCGAAATTAAATGTCGATACTGGATAATGTGCTGAATGCACAGAAAAATTTCAGTAGCCATATTATGCCAGGTGGAAAATTAGTCCTATTCCCCATAATCATAATGCATATGTATCCGAGGAAAGCACAGGTAAAATGTGATAATATTTACATTCTTTTAAGTTACAATATTACAGGAACTAATAGCATACCACGAGATACTTCAGCAGAAGATTCTCCAGAATATCCATCGCTCCTTGTTGTTTCCTTGAGATTTGATCGCAGTAACAAAGAAATTACCTGCAGTAATCAGTAACCAATTACCAATGTAGAAGGTAACCAGGAGAAATAAAGAAATGATGCTACATATATTAAAAACCAACAAGCCGTTGGAGATAAATGCCAGTATGGGGTTAAATAAGAAAACCCATGACTGACCTAGATTGAACCTGGATAGGAAGATCTCTATCATCTTTCTAACTTAAATTATTTTTTCAAGAGTTTCAGCTTAATACAAGTCAAATTAGCACAATGGGTAAAAGTTAAATATATCGCGGTTGAGGAAGGGTCGATACACAATGCATAACAACTAATATTAAATATGTAAACGTAACTTCCCGAAAAAAGAAAAAGAAAAAAGATAATGCAGTGTTCCACAAAATAATCTGAACATTTTGATGTAACGTATCTGCATTAAAATTCGAAGTGATTTTTTTGTGTATTTTTATTTTTATTTTTGAAGATGAAAGTTTTAACGAGAGGAAATTAAATTGTGTCATGAATGAGCAACAACAAGCCATTTTTAAGAAATGCTTTCCTATCAAATCTTGCTTATGGAATAGAGATTACGAAAGATGAACTACATTAATTACAGTAGAAGGATAACATAAGAAACTATGGCCAGTAAAAGTTTCACTTACTTGGCCAACAGAGGAAACTCCCTTGTCTGTTCTGCCGCATCTAGAGTACTGTAATTCCTTCTTATCACCAGATATCAACCTCGTCTTTTTAAGGGCCTTAAAGATTTCTGACTGAACTAATATACAAGAAAACTCATTTCATATCTTCTGCCAAACAGCATTTTCAGGAACTTAAATAGAACATTATTATTTTAGTGAACAGATCAAATTTCTCTTTACACCATCAACTGAAGACATAATAATAAGTCATTCTTAGCAGAGGGAAAGAAATGTGACATTGGAATAAAAAATGCCAAATACATAATTAGTCGAGTATATCTGAAAGGTGCCAGTGAAGATGAACTAATAAGAGCACTATCCACTTTTTGGAAAAGCATTCATGATTTTCTCCTTGTCCATTGCAAATGGAGCTAGAAGAGTCATTGTTGACAATTCTCCTGGCATAGTGCTAATAATGGACTAGATAAAAATGGCTCAATTAAATTCTAGTGGTTCTTCTATTAGTGAAGTTTCTAGAAAAAAATATATCAAACGACGCAATGCACCTTGGGTCGCTACGGAAACAGCCTCCTTGTATAATTACAAGGGTAAGGTCTGCGTACAACTGACCCCCCAGACCCCAACCAGTTGGGAATATACTGGGTATTTTGTTGTTGTTGTTGTATTCATGATTTTCTCCAGTGCACTTGAGATTAACAATCCTTACATTGTTTGGCTTCAACTGTAGCATAACTTTAAGATTTTTATAGAAACATACCAGTGGCTTGCTTGCTTTTTTTTTTTTTTTTTTTTTTTTTTTTTTTTTTTTTTTTTTTTTGTTTCACTTATGTTTACCTGACCATGATAATAATCAGATCGCAGGTAAAGTCTTAAGCAAACGAACCACCGATTTCATACCACCTTACCATTAATTTTTTTTTGACCAAATAAGCTAGTGTCTCAAGTAAGAGACCAAAAGCTAAAATAAAGATTGCTGGTATAGACACTAGTATGACAGAAAAGTGGCAAAATCACCTCTATGGTCGGGTCCATCTGTGCCTCCGAAGCAAAACCGTAAAATCTGTAGTCCAAAATTCAACAATTTATAATGATGTAAATAAGACAGATCAAATATGAAGCAGTTATTAATATACAGCTCGTTCTACAACTGCAAATGCTCATATTAAGTCAAAAGTAGATCACCATATTGTGTCATCAATGAATAGAAATACATGCCTGTGTGCGTGGAATGTTCTATTGACTTCTAGTCATAAATCAATTGAAGGCAATATGTGAAGAAGAAAATACCCAACTTGCTACGCATATTGAGAATAAAGATGCCACACATCATGGCCATAGATGGAACACTATACGAGGAAAAAGTTCAGTGCTGAAGAATCTAATAGAGTAATAGTACCTCAAACATGATGAATAAAACTCTGTTTAACGCTAAATACTACCATTGTAACTTGTGGGTAATCAAATAATACATGTGTAAAACAATAAGCAATCATGAAACAGTTATTCTTATTTTCTCCAAGTGGAGTAATAAAGAAAGGATCATATATAAATGAGACAGTTACTATATTGTGTAACTCGGACCAAAATACATAACTTTTAGAGCAACATTCCGCCTCGGAAAATGATGCAAAACCATATCTTCTCTACGTGTATCTAACAGGAAAAAAAAAAAACCAATAAGAAAATCAACAAGCTCAGCAACCGTGTCAAAATACTTGTCTATGCCAACTGTAAGGCAGCCATACACTGTCTGTTCACTGCATACTCACACACCTACATGTGTATTTGAAATGCGCGGTTTGAAAGAGCGCAAATGCACCACCTCACAAGTCATACAAAATTTTCCATAAAATAGAGTGAGTTTTTAAGACTACAAGAACCTGGCACATCCTCCTTCGATTTATTTCTGAGATCATCTTCATCAACTTTTTTCCCTTTCATTTTCTCCATCGAGTTAAAACCACTAAGTCTATCACTGGCCATAGTCTGCACTCAAAAAACTTATGCATCATAATCATAGCAGTCTGCACTAGAAAACTATGCATCATAATCATAGCGCATAAAAAGCCGTAAATTCCAACACTAACTCACAACAACAACAACAACACACCAACAACACCACCACCGACAACAATAACAACAATAGTCATCATTCACACATGAAGGTTCCGGCCCCAGCACGATATCCAGTAACCACTAAGCATAACAACATAGCCAAAACACTACGATTTCAGCTCATAGTACCCAATTAGTAAAAATCAAAAAAACGGTATTGTATGGGTTTATAGCCATCAAACGCCTAACCTTCTCGCAGGTGCAGCTCGAGAGCTGAGCAGAAAGCTGGGCATTCGCAGCTTCCAATTCCTGCATTTCCAAATAAAGAAAATATTGTTAAAGAGAAATTGGACATTTGATGGGGTCACGAGAAGAGTGTGTACATGAATCCTTTTGTTGAGATTCTATCTGGACCTGCAACTCCTTGGCGAGTTCAGTGTTGGGACCTTCCTCCATTTTCTTTACAGCATGCGCACACCAACTGTTCGACAGATAGACTCTTAGAGCTGTAAATACCCGTTATTTCCCGCGATCTCATTTTCTGTTATTTTTCAAATACTAGTATGTAACCCGTGCGATGCACGGATTGTATTTACTTTGGAGAATATTAAAAATTAAAATCTATTAATATATAATAAGGATTAAGATAATTCACTTTTAGAAACACTTTCCCGCCAATTTCATTAATTATTGCCTAAAAATAGTAAATTAACAAAATATCTATCTATTAGCATATCTTTTTTATCTAATTTTATTTTAGGAATACAATAAAAAATATGAAATCAAAATCAAAATAAATCTAAGAAATACACTTACCATACGTAATGCACTTAATTTAAGAAATACACTTATTATACGTATTTTTAAATTTTTTTAAAATACAATATAAAACATTTAATTAATAATTGTCAATTAAAGTTCATTTTTAAGAATCAATCATATTTCTAATAATTGTTAGAGATAATTTATATATATATATATATATATATATATATATTAGTATTTACGTGAAAGAAACATATATGTTATTTATATGTTAACATATATGTTAATCCTATATAATAAGGATTAACATAAATAAAATTTAGAAACAATTTTCCCGCCACTTTCATCAATTATCTCCTAAAAATAGTAAATCAGCTTTTTTTCATTTTTTTTATTAATAACATCAAATACTTTTATATTGGTAATCAATAAGGAATCAAAATCCGAATAAATCTCCTATTTTTCCAAACAATTTAGAAATCCGAATGTAAATCCGAATAAATCATGATTTTAGAAATCGTGATTTCCAAACAATTCGGAAATTCGACTAAATCTCCAAGAAAAATCATGATTTGTATATATCATGAAAATAAAAATCTGTTCAAAATTTTCTTTACACGAATTTGAATCATAATTCATTCATCCTATTATTAAATCCTTTAATTGTTTGAAACCGCATGTTAAGATTTGTATATATCAGATTTCTAAAATCATGATTTGTATATATCATCTTTTCACTAATTGGACTTTTTTATTCATTATCGATTTGAAAAGAAAAACGAATTTTATATACCTTATTGGTTTTGATAATACAATGCTATAATCATTATCATTATTTATTTCAAAAGATAGTGTTTGTCATTTATTTGATTTCAAAAGATGAAAATTTTTTTATAGTTTATGTCTCTTTTTATTTATGCATTTATACAAATTAATTTAAAAATTCTAATAACGATTGGCAACAAAATTGGTTATATATTGATTAAAACCAACTAATTAATAAAAGAGTCCATCCATCACGAAATTAAAAAATAACACACGATCACTACATTTCAAAGATTAAGTTATTTAGATAAACATTCATTTATATTGTCATGACGATAAACAAGAGTGAGCGTCAATCTTAGAAATTTGATGATTTCAACTGCTATATTTTCAATGGTTTTTTTACCGTTAGAATATGCAAATTCCGTTGGAATTTTTGTTTCAACCCCGTTGAAAAATCCACCGTTGGAATCGTCAAAATCCAACGAAAATTCCATTGTAAAATTCATTCCAACGGATTATTTTTGTTGGAATTTCTGTTGGAATCCATTGAAAATTTCTAACGGAAATAATAGTATTGAAATATCCGTTGGAATTGTCGTTGGAATAATTTCTTTTGGAATAGATTTCCATTGGAATTTTATCATTTTATTGTAGTGTGCGCAATAATCAAACTAATAATGTTGTTTACAATTAGGTTTTTAATAACATATGATTTTTTTCACACCGAACATTTTATGAGCATTTTCTGCCCAAACATTAATTACCTAATATAGATGGAAATAATATAAATGATCTAAATAAAAAAAAATCATTAATTGCATAATTTTCATATACTCGATTTTCGATTTATTTTTATTTTAGTAAATTCTTGGTTTTTCTTTAATTACGTTGATAGTGGTTTTGTAGGCAAAGATTATGTAAATAATTATATGTAGCTGATTTTGGAACTATTATTTATCAATGATACTTTTTTATTTTAACATATTTACTAGAATTATTGATTTGCATTAGCATATTTGTTACATACACACACAAAAGAAAAAACAATTTTATAGTTATATTTAAATTTTCATGGCATCAATTTTGGAATTCTATGCTCTCTGCGAATTTTCCCCCTTCTCAACCCTAACCGCAGCCTCTCCGAATTCGTCGCCGATTTGCCTTCTCCGGCGACGGCTGGGCTTGGCCAATGGTCGCCTCCTGACCGCTCGTCCCGCCTTGGCCTTCGTGCGACTCGAAACCCGCTGCGCTTCAACTGCATCGGCCCTCCAAGCGACGGCGAATGGAAAGCTCGAGTTGTTGTCCCCATGGTAGGAGTCTTGTCGGAGAGGGGTGGCTTTCTCCCGGTCACCGGCGGCCCCTCGATTGGTGTTGGTAAGCTCCGCTTTCTCTCTATTTTGTCGGTGTTTGGAGTCTCCTGTTGGTCGTTTCCGTCTCCTTCCGGTGGGGCGTCCTATGGGTGGTTGATTGTAGTCGGATTATTGTGGTGGTGCTCGGCGAAGTGCGTGTCTGAGGACGGGATGGACCACGCTGCTGCGGTGTCTCTTTCGTGGTGGTTGGGTTTTGAACTGTACCTCCTAACCCCCTCCCCTTTTCGGCTAGTGGTGTTAGGCGATCGGGGTCCAGGAGCCTGCCTTTTCGATGCTCGGCTAGTGGTGTTAGACGGGTTCGGTTGGGCGGGTGGGGTTAGGTTGGTCGGCTTCTTTCGGTTGGAGGTGGGTCGACTTGGGGAATGGTTTGGTCTCGGTTTTGGCTGCTGTATAGGTGGTTGCGCAGTTTCGGTAGCTGGTGCCCAGGCTGGGACTATTTTTTGTGTCGATTGCTCATTGTTGGTTGTGCCAGGCCGCTCATCGGGGAAGGGCTGTTCTTTTTCTTAGTATTATGTGTTGTTTTTGGTTCTTCTTTTGTTTGTTTATGTGTTCATGTTGTTCTTGTGTTTTAGGTTTGGGTCATTTGGCCTCTGTGCGTCCGAGTGTCACCTTTATTACCTTGTTGGGGTCCGACACTCGGTATTACCCTGTTGGGGTCTTTGTGTTTTTTTGTTGTGTTTATTGTAGTGTTTTTATTACCCCTTTGGGGTCGTGGTCGAGTAGTTGGTCTGTTTAGTTTGAGTTTTTATTCTAGCGTTGCTAGCGGGATTCTAGGCGGGCTTCTGACCTGTCCTCCCAGTTTATTCTCCCGTTGGGAGCTTTGTATTTTTATTCGCACATTTGTGCGCTTTTGATTTATAATAGTACCTCTATCGTTCCGGAAAAAAAAAATTTGGAATTCTCATTTGTGAGGATTCTTTTTTATTTTATCATATTTATTAGATCTACAATTACAGATTATAAATTTATATTACTATCGAAATATATTTATATTAATATTCGAATATATTTTTCATTTTAGCAGATTCTAAAAATGAACGATTTTATATTAGATATATACAAATCTTTTTTTTTAGATATACATCAATTCCTTTATTGGTATTCTTTTTGTCAATTGTTTTTAAAAGGAAAATGTTTAAAATTTTGGATAGTAAATCGATTTTTTGTTTTTGTATACACAAAATATAAATTTATTGCAAAATCTATATATATATATATATATATTTACTACCTAAAAAGTTGTCACACATATAATAGGAAAACTGTCCAATTAAAAATTGTTCAGTTTGAAAATACATAACAAGTTGTCACACATTCAATTAAAAATTGTTCGGCTTGAAAAAATTAGCCTGAAGTAATGTCTAATCAATAATGTTATATATTTTATATCTACTATATATAATCTCCCTCATAAAATCAGTGTAATGTAATATTAATGTTTCATATTATTCATACATATTTTTGTAGATATACACCAATTCATTTGTCCAACTCTTGTATAAATTTTCATATTATAAATAGATTCATCTTAGACTTCCATTTAAGTTTCAGCGGCACCAGTTCCTTATGATTTTGGGGTTCCATTTAACAGTCATGGTCAGTATTTTTGTATAAAAAATATAGAAATATTAGTGAATATTATATAGCTAATCAAGTATAATCGATATTAAACAAACATCTCATTGTCTGACTGCCTAAGTAAATTATCATATTATAAAAAATCTATCTCACGATTTCATTTATTTATAGAGCACCAGTTACTTCTAATCTTAGGGTCTCATTTAAGATCAGGGTCAGTCTTTATGTGCGTTGGCATATTATTAAAGAAATCGGTTCTTAGCAATGACCGATTATATGTTGTTGTTTTTACGTGTAAGTAATAGATAAGAGATGTGCACTGATATGTTCTTATTTTTTTTTATCATGACCAATTGTATGTTGTTACGCGTGTAAGTAATAGGTCAAGAAGAGTCAAGGTCAACATTTATTGTACGTTGTCATGTTAAATAATAGATCAAGAAGAGTCAAGGTCAACATTTATTGTACGTTGACATGTTCTTAAAGAAATCGATTTTTAGTCACGGACAATTATGTTGTTTGTTTCGCGTATAAGTAATAGAAATGTGTTGAAAGATATTAGTTTGTGGAGACAATGAGTTACTCGGTTATTGAACAAATAATGTTGTGTACAAGAAAGTTTAAATAATATATTTTTTATCATGATGACCATTTTATGGTTTGATAATTTTCCTACAAATTATCAATCTTTTATTTATTAATACATTTTAATTTTTAATATTCTCTAAAGTAAATACAGCCCGTGCATCGCACGGGTTTCATACTAGTGTATTAATAAACAAAAGAGTGATAATTCGTAGGAAAATTATCAAACTATAAAATGTTCCTCATGCAAAAAAATATATTATTTAAACTTTCTTGTACACAACATTATTTGTCCAATAACTGAGCAACTCGTCGTCCCCACAAACTAATATTTTCAACACTTTTCTATTACTTACACGCGAAACAAACAACATAATTGTTTGTGACTAA